ATACACACACACACACATGTACATATAATAGCCCCAAATATTCTACTCGGGCTAAAGCCCGGGTGAAGTTATACATGGCTCCGCCTCTGCCTATGAAGCGGTCTCTAACGGCGGAGGGGTGTGGTGATGAAGGACCGCTGATCGGTGTTGTTATTTATATGTTGGGTGTGAACAAACGGCGCACTCAGGGCCTTTGTTTATCCACGATAGGTGTATCTAACAGACGCACTACGGCCTTCTCCTAGATACCGTGACTTCAAGACGCTCTAATGGCCTTCTCTCCGACACTGTATGTAAACACGCACTAACGGCCTTGTTTAAACACACGCTAAGAACATCAGTTCCCCCTATGAGATTCACTCATCAATTCCAAGACTCAACATGTTTATTAATGAAGAGGTACATGTGTATTTATAAATGCCAACTACCTCTAGTTCTAATCTTACTAGGAAACTAATAAAACAATTAAATATTAAATCCTAAGGCAAGTAAATATCCTACTACCATAAATTCTTAAATCTACTAGATCTCCTAATATCTTGAGTTGCTATCCAATTCCTTGCCTTGCACTCCACACCATTCGGCCGCCCCTCAACCCTAACCGCCATATCGCGTGCCGCCTTGGACGCCTACTCCTAGTCGCGCGCGGTAACGCGCGTGTTTGTCCCGTTTTTGTTACTATTTTCTTTGATTCTTTGTGTTTCGTTTCCCCCGTTTTAGGTCTTTTCTTAGGTCTTTTCGGTCCGTCTAGTCTTTTCTTATGCTTTTATCTTCATTTTAGGTTGTATAGTTTTTCTGTTGCTTTTTCCTCCTATTTTCTCTTGTTTTCGTGTTTTGTTCGGTGGTGCGATTTCAGGTTGTATGATGATCGGGCTGGCGAGTGTTCAAACATGATAAGGAGTGGATGATTTGAGCAGCATTTCTGTGGACCAAACGTGCGGGGATCGAGTTCCCAGCTCGGGCAGTACCCAAGCGACGAAGCCGAACACACGAGCCGTTGAAAAAGACCTCATTCTTGGACCAACGGAGCCTTAGCGCCGCTAAGGCCTTAGCGCCGCTAAGGCCCGTGTGTTAGCGGCGCTTCGAGGCTAGGCAACGGGCAGAACTGGGCAGCTAAGATGCCTTAGCGGCGCTAACCCCTTAGCGCCGCTAAGGTCTGTTTTATGTCTATCGCGGATTTTATGGATTTTGAAATGGGAAGTGTACTAGATCGATTGGGGGGCGTTTCTTTGGTCATTGAGACCTTGTTTTTGAGCAGCTTTTACCCTAGAACACATTTTACTTCTTACTTTTCATCTTGGA